CCCAGAAGAATGAGATCCTCAAGATTATCCCTTTCTCCTCCGGCCTTGTTCTTCACCCCAACATCTGAGAGGCGGTGGCCCCAGCCCAGCCCTCTTATTACCCTCCTTCTGCCACTGCCCTGCTCCTCCCCAACAGGGCTCGGCGCCAGGATGTGGAGTAACTCCACGTCCTGAGTGACACTCACTCTAGGATCTCGTTGTACTCAATTGTCTCCTCCAGGTTCTGAAGGTTGGGGTTGACACTGCGGATTGCACGCATGTATGCCTTTAGCAGCTGGATGTCTCGCTTCTGTTAGAGGGAAGGAGGATGAGGGATAATGGTTATGACAGAGAACAGACTAAAGACAAAAGTTTGTCTGAGAATGAGGGAAATCAAGAGATCTGAGGAACAACCAGACTGGGGGCTTCATGAAGACAGGGATACAACTGTCATTCACAGCTCTAGCCCCAGTGCTTAGCAAAGTGCCTTCAAGGGAAGGCATTTGATAAACAGTAGGTGAATGAATGTCACTGATGGGAAGAAGGGAAGCAAGAAGAGCTCCAGTCTGATTGGCTGCTACACACAGAGTATGTACTAACCGAGGCTCGCAAGCACAGGCACCGACCTGCCGCTCACATCGGAGCCTGTCACCCACAGGCACAAGGTTACAGGTGCCTACGGAGGACATGTTCTGCCCTGTGTCCTCTGGGCCCTACCTGCTCCGCCAGCTGGTGTTTGTGTTCCGCTGAGGTCTTCTCCAGCTCTGCAATGCGTGTCTGCTGCTGCTGGACCACTGAGCGCAGGTGCTTAATGCAGTTGTGGTTCGGCAGCTCATCTTTGGGCATCTCCAGGCTGCCCCCCAGGTGGGAAAAGAATAGGACAACAGGAGCATTCAATAAGACATGTGGCCGAAGGCGCACAACTGCTGAGAGCACTCTCTCCTACCTCAAATTTCTAACATGCAGTCATTTCTAACATTCAGGCTCCCTCTTGTTTATTTCCTTCACCACCTTCTGCTCCACTCCCCTCTGTCCCTTTGCTGTCTCCTTTCTCTGGGCCGCCTTCCCTCTATGAAAGTGGCTCATCTCCCACGTGCCTCTCCTTCCCCTCCTAGGTTCTGCCTGTGCACTCATTCCTTCTGAGAAGCCCTAGATTCACGGCCTAGCTATCAGCACTTAATCAAATATTTCACACCCCAAAGAAAGAAAAAAATAGGTCCAGAGGGAATATGAGAAGGCTGGAAATTAGAGCAGTCAATCTGACAAAGAAAAAGTAGTAATGGACAAAAGGGAAGAATAAAGTAAGCGAGTTTTTACTGCTATCACACAGATTGCAGAATCGCTGTCTCTCTCCTTTTATTAAAGCAAGAGCAAAAAGACCATAGCTGGAAAAGCAGCACAAAAGTGAGATCCTGGAGCAGGGAGCCGGGGGGGCCAAGAACACTCTTTGCCGACATGCACAGGAAGCTCCTCAGCGAGTGAGCAGGGGATCCAGAGATGGGGTATAAATGGGAAGGCCCTTATCTGGGCAGGAGGAGGGCAGGAATCTTACCCACATCCCTGTTCACAGGTCACAGGCCGTTTTGGGTTGTGCTCACAGTCACTGAGGTGAGACATGAGGTTGTCAAGCCGGACAACAGCACTGCAGCCAAACACAGCGTTGTCGCAGGCAATCTGCAGCTTTGACAACATGTTCCGCATGATCCGAGGTACTGGGCGCAGGTGGGCGACCGTCACAACGCTTCGGTCCACCGGACACGTCTGCTGCTGAGAGAACCACTGGGTGATGCAGGCGTTGCAGAAAGCATGCTCGCAGTGAGGCGCCTAGAAGGGGGAGTAGGGCAAAAGGGGCACAAGAGAATTAGCGGGAGCTAAGAGCCTGGGTACACTAACTCTGCAAAGCCAATCAAGCCTCTGAGCAGCTTCCAGGACCAGAGGTCCCCGGGGTCACAGCAAAGTACAGATCTACTATGGGCCAAGCATTGTGGGCGACAGGCTTCAGATGTGTTTCCTGTGCTCAAGATTCCAAATGGATTGTGACACAAGAAAAACAAAGTTATATAACAATAAAAGGTATAAATAATATTCCAAGACAATGGGAGAGATGACGTAAGGCAATTATTAATTGCTAACTGGATTACATACACAATAATTGCCAAAGAAATCCAGAGGGTGAGATCGTTCCAGTCTAGGTCAATCACGGCAGATATTTCTGAAGAGGACAGGATTTTTTTTTCCCACATAAAATCGTACTTTCAATAGTATATAAATTATATCTCAATACAGCTGTTGAAAAATACCCAAAACTCAAAACAATACCCCACGGTCTTTCAACAGGGTAAACCTCAGCCACAGATGAGCTCACTAGTAAGATCTTCTGAACATTTAAGGAGGAAGTAATATCAATTCCACACAATCTTTCCCAGGAAATTGTAGAAGAAGGAACACTTCCCAACGTATCCTACGAGACTAGCATTACACTGATACCAGTATCATGAAAAGACGTTATAAAAAAAGAAAACGACAAACCCATATCCTCCATGAACATAAATATAAACATTAACAAACTTCAGCAAATATAACTCGGTTTATAAAAAGATAATACATTATGACCAAATGGGCTTCATCCCAGAAACACAATGTTGGTTTAACATTAGAAAATCAATCAGCATAGTACACCATATTAACAGAGTGAAAAACACAAAATTATACGATCATCTCAGTAGATGCCACACAAAGTTTTTGAGAAAATCTAACACTCTTCATTTTAAAATCGATTTTGTCTGACATAAGTATTGCTACTCCAGCTTTCTTTTGGTTTCTGTTTGCATGGAATCTTTTTCCAACCCCTTCCTTTCAGCCTGCATGTGTCTCTAGCTCTGAAGTGGGTCTCTTGCAGACAGCATACCAGTCAGTCGGTCTTGTTTTTGTATCCATTCAGCCGGTCTATGTGTTTTGGTTGGAGTGTTTAATCCATTTACATTTAAGGTAATTATCGATATGTATGTTCTTATTGCCATTTTGTTAATTGTTTTGGGTTTGTTTTTGTGGGTCTTTTTTTCTTTCTTCTTTTTGTTCTCTTTTCTTGTGGTTTGATGACTAGAGAAGTTCCTTTAACATTTGCTGTAAAGCTGGTTTGATGGTGCTGAATTCTTTTAGCTTTTATTTATCTGTGAAGCTTTTGAATCCTCCATCAAGTCTGTCAAGGGCCTCGCTGGATAGAGTATTCTTGGTTTTAAGTTTCCCCCTTGCATCACTCTAAATACATTGTGCCGCTCCCTTCTGGCCTGTACAGTTTCTGCTGAAAAATCAGCTGATAACCTTATGGGAGCTGCCTTATATGTCATTTGTTGCTTTTCTCTTGCTGATTTTAAGGTTTTCTCCTTATCCTTAATTTTTGTCAATTTGATGACTGTGTGCCTTGGCACGTCCCTCTTTGGGTTGATCCTGTGTGGTACTCTACGCTTCCTGGACTTGGGGTGACTGTTTCCTTTCCCAAGTTAGGGAAGTTTTCAGTTATTATCTCCTCAAAAGTTTTCTCAGGTCTTTTCTCTCTCTTCTCTTTCGGGGACCCCTATAATGCAATTAGTGCATTTCATGTTGTCCCAGAGTTCTCTTAAACTATCCTCATTTCTTTTCATTCTTTTTTAATTTTTTCTGTTCTGCAGTAGTGATTTCCACTCATCTGCCTTCTTGCTCACTGATCCATTCTTCTGCCTCACTTAGTCTATTCTTGGTTCCTTCTAGTGTGTTATTCATTTCAGTAATTTTATTCTTCAACTCTGGTTATTTCCAACTCTTTGCTAAAAACTTCGCTCTGTGGATCTATACTCCTCTTGAGTTCTCTGAATATCTTTGTCACCATTACTCTAAACTCTTTCTTGGATAGATTGCCTAAATCTTCATCACTTACTTCATCTGGGATTTTATCTTGTACCTTGGCCTGGAAGGTATTCCTCTACCACCTCATACTGTCTATTTTTCTACTTGAACTTTTTGAAGAGGATAGAATTTGATACAGGTCTTGAGGGATGAGTAGAGATGAGGGGGGGCAAAGATATACTGGCTAAAGTTCAATATAAGAAAGTAAAACAAAACAAAAACCTTGAACTTCTGGTGAGGGGTTAAGGGTCCTCTCTTGGTGGGCCCAAGCTCTTACTTCACGAGGGCCCATCTAAGGCTTTGCTCTGAGTCCCAGTGAACAGGCCTATGCTCCAAAACAGGGCAAGCTTTTTTTTGTTTTGTTTTGTTTTTTTGTAGAATCACATTCTTTTCAGTTTCATAAAGGTATTTCAGCCTGCTTCCCTGATAATTCAAAGTGCGAGGATTCCGTGGCCTTTGGGGAGACACTATCTGGCCTCCAGTGGGACAAACACAGCAGGCACTCAGTAGATGTGGGTGAATGAATGAGTAACTGGAGTGCCTATTCTGTCCCTGCAGTTCGCGAGGTCCTTGAGATAAAAAAAGAAAGACAGTTTCTACCCTCAAGATGCTCACAAACACCAAAATCTGTAACAGAAAGGTTTCATAACGAAAGAAGTCATTCTCAATATCGTTAATCCAACTGTCAGTACATTATATTTTTCACTTAAAGACATATTTGATCCTTTCCAAAATCTTATAGATGCTATTTCCAAAAAAATCCTAAATTTGTCCACTTTCCCCAACTAACCCACTTCAAGCTATCATCTCTCATCTACATTATTTTTTTTAAATTTTATTGACGTATAGTTGATTTACAATGTTGTGTCAGTTTCAGGTGTACACATCTACATTATTAAATATGTATTCTAACTGGTCTTCCTACTTCTGCCTTGCCCCTTTATAATCCATTCCACATTCAGCAGCCGGAGTACTCATTTAAGAATGCAAACTAGATCATATCCCTTGCCTGCTTGAAACTTTACAATGGTTTCCCATTGCACTTAAAATAAATCCAAACTCCTGCTCAGGACCCATAAAATTCTGCTGGATTTGGCCCTGTGCCTCTGGCCTCTCCTCGCCTCACACCATGCTCCCAGCACCGAGTTCAGGCCATTTGGGCTTTCTCTCTGTTCCTTGTCCACACCCTACTCATGCCTGCTCTTGCTTTTGCTGCTCCCCTCTGCCAGAATGCCTCCTGGCATTCAGATTCCAGCTCAACGGCACCTCTTTTGTGACCTTCTTCTCTAAACCTGTCACCCCTGCGGGAGTATACAGAATGTGCTACATTCTGTGCAAGAAAGGTGGGCAAATATATACATAAACATTCATAGTTGCTTATCTCTGCCCATATACACACTGGAAGGATACCAAATAAACCAATAAACATGGTTATCCATGGGGGGATTAGCTAAACTGGGACAAGAATGGACGCAAGAGTTTTCACCGTGTATCTTTTTATATTGTTTTGATTTCTCAACCGTATGAATTTGTCTATTCAATAAATGAATAAATATGATGTAGGGAAATCAGCATCCCTATCAGGGCCCTTCTACCCTTGGAAATGTATCTGGTAACCTCAGAAGGTAAAGCCTGGGGGCCGGGGGTGGTTTCTGCCTTAGACAGTCACTTCTCCACGTGTGACTTACCGCAAATGATAGTGCCCTGCCAGGGTAGGGAGGTAACTGACACACCCCATGACCTCTTGACACTGCCAGGAGAGCTTGCTCCACACCCAGCCAATCTGCTTCTAATGGCAGTAGGCTGCAAAGGCCTAGGCAGGGGATAGGTCCAGGGCTAGCTGCCATTGATGCAGTCTGATTTTCATCCAGCTCAGGCATCTGTGCTCTGGGGAGTTGAAAACTGGACAGTAAGAATAAACTCTAAGGATCGAGGGGAGCTCCAGGGAGTTGTATAAGCAGTGAGTAGGGGAAGGGCCAAGAGCCCTCACTGACTGGTGTCCTGGTTTGGAAAATGGGATTATTTCCAGCCAAGCAGGAGTGATGGAGGATCAACTGGTATGTACAGAGTGTGGGCAATAAGGACCATACAGGATGATGTCCCATGAATACAACTGTTAAGAATTCATCTCACTCATTATACTTGCCTGGTTAATCATGAGCTTCTTCTCATACCTGCCCGAGGAAGACACAACTGACTCTGGTCTGGCAAGGCTGGTAGAGAAATGACCTAATGAAAATGGCAGCTTTCATATCGAAATGCAGAGTATATGGCTACATCAAAAAATTTTTTTTCAATAAATCCCAGGAAGAAACTAGGTCAGTACCTACAGTTCCCCTATTTCCTATTTGTTAAATAGTAGGCAGACAGAAGAGGCCTGAGGGGAGACTGGCTGATTACCCGAACTACTACATCATGAAAATGCAGAGAACTTCTTGGGAGAGTCCCAAAGTTCAGTCTTGGGTAGGAAGACAGAACCTAGTTAGAGCTGCTGAAGAGGAAAAGAAGCTACCAAGCTACTGTCAGAGGACAGAAACAACAAACGCTTCACAGCACAGCAGTCTCACAGCGACCTCAGGAGGAAATCTGAACCACTGCACTCCTGCGGCGTCCACCTCTAGACAGACTCTGGGAGGCCCCATTCCTCTTGCAGCTGCCACTGCTCCTCTGCACCAAACTATCCTGTGTGTGTCAGGAGTGTGGGGAGTGGGGACAGGGAGCCAGGACACACTGACTTCCCCATTGGCCCCATCACCTATGAATGTCTCCTACTAGCTCCACTGCCACCTACTGCCTCCCCAAAGCTGCCGCCAGACTCACCTGGACTGGCTCCTCCAAGACTCCACTGCAAATAGGACAGATAAGGTCTTCGTCAACATCCCCCTGGAAACGGGTTACATCATACCCCATGTCTCATCACTGAAACCCAGGTCCTGGAAGGAACAACAGAGGAAAAAGAGGCCAGTTCAGAAGATCAGACATGTGCCAACTTGATCTCATTGCCAAGATCCATTCATTTGTCCAATAAATATTTACTGAGAGCTTACTATGTGCCAGTCATTTGGGGGGGGTAGATAAAGCTGACTTAAATTTAATTCTAATGGGAGAAGACATTATATAAGTATACACTTAGAATATGAAATGATAAATGCTTTTAGGATAAGCACAGGGCGTTATGAGGGCAAGAGATATGGATACCTAACCCAGGCTGAAAGGAGAGGGAGGTTTTGAGAAGTTTTCCAGAACTAGGTGTCACCAGCAAGACACACAAGACTTAGCTAGGCTGGGTAAGGGGGCAGGGGGGGGCAGACCAGGGTGGGACGTAAGAGTTTTAGGCACAT